GGCAAGAAGTGTGTTGGACAAGTTAAATGAAATGCGGAGGAATCTCTGTGAACGCCATATTGCTGGCGGCGATATCATCGCCTGAAAGTAGCATATTAAACATTTTATTTATGGTTTGTCCTTTATTAGAGTTAGGAATAAAGTGTGAACAAAATCTTCTTACTTAAAGTGATCTTGATTTTCGTTAGAAAGCTACTTGGAACTTGACCCATCTTGCGAATGTGTTAATTTAAATTGACCTCTTGTTTGCAATAAAGTATCATTTGGAATGCACGAAACCTTCTATCTTCTTAAATATGCTTTTTTTACTATCTTGCTTGGTCGGGAGGACCTGAAAGTATGCCTTGTCCGTTTTGAATGATGGAAAACTATTTGCTAACTTGCTTCTCGTTCTTTTCGTCTTTGAAGAGGACTCGCGGCGGTACGCCTAGACAATTATTTAATGTTAAGTTGGGTGAATAGCAAATCGAGTCGCTCAAAACTCATACTAATTGTAGACAATTTATAAAATCCACTAACACCTCTTGACAAATGGTGTGACGTAGCGCGATGAACATTATCCCTGGACATTATGGCCTCCAATACATCAAACACCTCCAGAGGCGAATTTTTTTACCACTACGTTACATAGTCAAACACAGGCGGCACAGTCGGAACCAACGTGCCTACTTATTTCATTTCAGCAGCAATCATACTCAAACCTCAAAAAATAACGCATGGAAAATATTGACGACATAGTTATCGTTTTCATTGCCAATAATTTTCCTCTCTTCTTGATTATCAAAATAATCAGAAGACAGTAACAGCGTCCTCGTCGTTGCGATGAAAAAGAGAAGTAAAGTAGTCAGCAAATGGAGGATTGGAAGAAACAGCGGAAGAGGGAGAGGTAGAGGTGACAGGAAGATGGGATTGGCCGACAGGATGCTGAAGATACAGCCCATCCTCCTTGTCCCTCGTTTCGTCGACGATCGAATGGTCCTATAACCATAGATTTTAAAACGGGTCAAACATTAGCCTGTCATTTGATCTTTGTCAAATGAAAGACAATTGCTGAAACGCAAAGGAGTATGGCAACCGTATCCAAAAGACAGCACCTAGCTTCTTATTAGGTCTAGGGAAAGATCTAGTTCTAGTTCCCCAATGCAGACATCTTGTCAGAATAAAAAAGGGATTTTAGGACGTAATGAATTAGACGAAATCTCTCTACTTCTCTCTTGAGACAGTAAAGTTGCTTACCTTGTAGAATTTGACAAGCTCAGTGAGGGATGGAAAAAACTTTCGGTGCCCTTGGAGATGATAGAAGCGTGGGTCCCCGTCACTACTACCGTTCTGCATCTCTTCCGCCTTCCAATCACCGATGTCCTCAACACTAGTCTTGAGAGGCTTGAGTAGATGCAGAAAGATATGAGTGCAGGCGCCACTGGAGGCGATGTGAGAGACAATGTAACCCAGAAAGCTGTCACTGATACGCAACAGGAAACTGTTGCCTGGTCGACCTTTGAGCAGTGATTCTGAGGGGAGGCGTTTTAGAGGACCTAAAAGGGAAAGCTTCATAGAGTTATAGTACCGAAGTGGTTCACTAGTGCTACCCATTTATTGCTGTCTGTTACAAAGATCTCGAGAATAG